AGTCCCCTGCGGGATTTAGTGCTCGGCCAGGTTGGCTCGTTGACCAACTGCGGCGCCCGCCAGCGAGCCAGGCGAGCCAGGCGAAATGTGCCGTTGCATCCCGGCTCCTCTGGAATTCGTCGATATCCACAATATCAACTCGGACAGAGACGTGGCGATGTTGAATGAGCGCTGGCATTTCTTCGTTCTGGGCCCTTGCGAACCCGCCCACACCGGCGCCAGCCACACGGGAACGCCCGTCTTGCTAAAGGGTTTTAGCGCTACTACAGTGCAGCGGCTGGGATAGCAGGTTGGTTGTCAAGCTGAACCCACCCCGAATCCGAACCCGAGCCACGGATGTTGTGGAAACGGGTTCTTGTCGGTCTCGGCCCGCCGGTTGGCATCCGATTGCTCGCCTAGAGTGGGCTTCTTCGCATGAATATGTATGGACAATACAAGGAAGTCTTCCAATGCCGTTGATGATACAGGGTCTATCATGACAAGGTTAGAGGCCAGGCGCTCGCAGGCGCTCGGCCGATACTGTCCCGGACAAACGGACGACTTGCGGGAGTGTCCGCGAACTAAACGTCACTTCGCTGGCACCGTCCGGCCGGGAACACCGCTCCACGGCCCATTCGAAATGGAGCTGAAGCTCGTTCAGGGACGTTGATGAGTATGCGGGTCCTGAGAAGTCCGTTGTATTCCGGCGGAGCGCAGACACGTCCTACACTACGCTCCCCATGTCTTGGTTTCTCAGCGTCTCTTTGTTTTTTTTTTGCTGTCTTGCAACCCCAACCGTGGCGGCCAGTAATTTGTTCTTGGTTCCAGGCTGTCGGATCCAGATAGATGTTTCCAGCCGACCCCCTCTTTCTACAGCTCCGCTCAGCCGGCCCGCCATTGAAATAAGGGGATGCGCGATGTCAGTTCGTCCTCCACAAGTCGGAGCACTCTTACTTCGTCCACCTCGCAGCTGGGGATTCGGGGGCCAAGCATCTGCAGTCGTCGTTCCCAAGGCTCGCCCAACCCTCTTGAGGTGAGGAAGTCCCGACCTGGCTCTAGCCCCGCATCAACTCAACCAACAGCGAAAGAGATATCCAGACCCAATCCCCGGGTCGGTGCAGCGTTTCCCCAGCGACTCCCGGGCCGCAGGCTCCTTGGCCATCAGTTCACCTTCTAACGGCACCGCCGGATGCCATCCCCTCCCCCGTCCCCCCGCCAGGAGGTGCATTTCGGCCGCAGGTATGGCTGCGACTCTCCTGCATCTCTCGACATACTGGGGCTAGTGTAGAGCGGCTCGAGGGACCGGCACCAAAACCACCGGCTTTCCGTCTCCGGGTCGTCGGTCGCGATCATTCGCCCCTCACATTGTGGTACATTGCATACAGCCGTTTTGTGGATTTGCCAGATCAAAAGTCTTGTTGAATTGAAAATCTCCTGGCATGGCGTTCATGGCATCGACGGGTTTTCAGTTTCGCGGCTAAGCGGGGCGTCCGACGTCGAATTCGAGACGTCGTTCCACGGAACGAAAGCCCGGCTCCACCTTGCCCGACGCTAGCAGCGGGACGCACAGGCCATGCGTTGATCCTGAGACGCACATCATCCGACCTATTGCGGCATCGCCGGATGCTTTTTTCTCAACGGGCGAAATGCCAAAAATTCTTACACAATACTTGTAAATATGGACGAGACACACATGGGACACCCCTTTCCGCCGCCCCCATGTCGCAGATGTCACCATAACCGCCATGTTCAACATTGTGAGAAATATCTGCGTTGAGGTGACCAGATTCTGCACGAAACAGGGCATTTACGCCGGCGAAAGGCCGCACAGAGAGGCCTGCGAAGCGATGCAACCTACACCAATAAGAGATGCTTGCATCATGCCGGTTCCTGCTTCCCCGTCCCTTGTCCCTTCTGTTCCCAAACCCTCCTCTTATCAAAAGCGGTTAAGGCTTGATATGATGGCGTTCGTTGCATGGTCTGTCGGTCTGCAAAAGAGTATTTTTCCCCTTCCCATGTGCTGGTGCGTCTGGGAAAGCCCAGCATCACTGCTTTGGATTGCAAGATCTTCATGTGGGATTCGCGGCACTGCCCGCCCGCCTCCACCTTCGCTCGCCCCAGATTTGGCAGGTCGAAGAGATGTCGTGTTTGAGTGTGATGTCTCTCGAACATTTGTCGTACGAGACAACAAAACCCACGGTATCCCCGGAGACGACGACTTTGCATGCATGATCAATCTGGGCTGGACTTGCCCGTTCCAACGTAATTGGCGGTAACGTTACAAGCATTCACAAGACTTTGGATTCCTTCAGTGTTTCAATAATTCCGTTGATACTAACCCTCGCACGACAGCGAGTCTCGATTGTCATATCAAATCTCGCAGGGTGCCTCTCCACATCCCCGGCGAGAGAGCCTGGGGAAAGCGATTGGCGTGGGCCCTTCGGATATCACCAAGTTGGCTTATTATTTGCCTTCTCCCCTGCGCAGGAAAGTTGACAACGCCTCGGATTTCCAGGCGCCGAGGCAAGCATTGCGTTCCCTTCTTCGGCTCATTTCTTCCTTTAACCTCTGTCCCCTTCCTCGGAGCATCCCGAAAACGGGTGGATGGCGCGAAAGCGGTGGGGTATAAAGTTGGACTTGTCCGTACATTCGGTCAGAGCAGGTCGAACTGGAGGCGGGTGACAACTCGGGCAGCCATCTATGTCTAGTTGGATGCAACCGTTGAGGCATGCGATACGCAACGCTCGCTAGTCATTTGGAACACGTCATACTCGAATTTGTGCGTCGCGAACCGCGCCTCCCCTTCAGTGCATCGGACGTGCTCTCCACCCCAATGCCGAGTGGGACAGCCGGCACTCGCATGCCAGCGCGGACGGAGATTACGGATGGTGGATTACAAGGAGAGGAAAAGATGGATCCCAGCACATTGCGGAGGCGCATGGGCGGATGGCCGAGTGGAGAGGCCAGGCAACGATAGCGTCGACGGGGCAAAGATGGAGCTTTCCACAATACCCCGGACAGGCCCTGGGTTTCGGGCCCGAAATGAAAACTCTGTGGGAATGGACATGGAGGTGAGATGCCTTGGTGTCGGGTGTCGTCGAGGCGATTTGAGTCGGAGCAGTCCCGACAGGAGGGTCGGGAATCACTCGGGACCGGCTAGGAGATGAGTTATCGGCTACCTCCCGGCGTGAGTCAGTCAAGGCATGAGTCTCCCAAATGTTGCAGATGTTGCGGCGACGGGCTGCGCCGTCTTGTCCCGGGGCGAGCGGGGCCGGCCCTGATCGGGTTCGAGAAAAAAGCGGTTGGCTTTTCTCATTGCAAAAGAACAAACTTCCATTCGCACATCTCCAGGGATCCTGGGACGGAACCCACTATTCTCGGTTCGTCATCCGGGGACCCATTTTCCCGTTGGGGATGGGGCCGAAGCTTTGAAACAATGTCTCAGCCCCACGGCCACCCCCATTTTGTTCCGGCACGTTTTGGCGCATGTTTGTCAATGGAAACGGGCGTTTTCAAGCGCGGTTAAGCCGCCAGCATCGTTTTCATTGAGACATCGACAAAATCAGCCCCGGACGAGAACTTGCAGAACTGCTACTGGTATTACGTGAGGCGGGCGTTCTGTCTCGCTGGAATGGCGAGAAACAGTGGGCAGGGTTTGCTTCACCCGGATGATCCCGTTCTCTGCGTAATCGTGGTTGTCTTCAGGGTAGATCAGATCCAAATGGCGGGGGCGCTATTGTTTTCAGGAGCCGCCCACTCTCTGGCCAAAAAAAGCCGAACTCCAAGTGCAGTGCTGCCGAAACCTTCGACCAGAGGAACGAAAAGAAAGCCATTCGGAATCCCAAAGTCGGTTTTCTACTTGGCTCGGTTTCTTTTACTTGGTTTGTTTTCCTCGGTTCCCTTTATCTCTTCTTTCTCTTAATTTTATTATAGGTATTCTTTCCCTTTTCTTAATTCACTTTTCTCGCCTTTCGAGTTCGGCTTTTTTTGACCAGAGGGTGCCGCTCCAAGATTAGCGAGTTGCTTGACCCTAACCCGAACCCGCACAAATCTCGAGTCCAGGGCAAGACGAGGAGCGGATGTGGTTGACGCGAAAAAAACCGAGCGCACCCAGACGGAAACACCCGACGTCACCCATTTCCATGGTATTCACATCTCCGAAGTCTCACAGGTCCCGCTTCCATCCACCGCAGCGCAACAAGTACGATCGATAACAGCAGAACCGCTTCAGCGAGTGAACGCGCCCGTTTCCCACGACCAAACACATTACATCTAACACAGTCCCCCCACCTTCGGCCCCCCGAGACTGGCTACCTTGCTTGCCCTCCAAGTTACCGATCAATCAATCACGACTGTGCGAACCGAGCTGCACAGCCGACCCCTCGCGTCCCGGTGTTCAAGCAGGAACCTTTATGCAACCAGGGCTGATCGAAACTCCAAACCAGGACATCGTTGCAATACACACAAGTCTTACCTCGCCCACCACTGCTCAACATGGCCCCGGTCGCTCCCTCGCAGGCTCGTCAGATGCTCGCTCCCCGCTGCGCATCCGAAGCACCTTTTCGGATGCCCAGCGGTCTGGTGGAGCAGTGTCTGACCACGACCTCAAAGTTGACCACCTCAGCCAGTCCCTTGGCTGGTTGAGTGTCGCCGAGGTCAAGTCCACTACGGCAACCCCAGCCACTGTCGCCGGTCAACGCGTCTTTGACTACGAGAATGCGGCAGTCGCCTCATCATCCCGCGACAACTCCCGCACCGATCTAGGTTTTAAGGTTATCCATAGCTCGCAGTCTGCCGGCGTCCAGCTGACCGATTTCCCCAACGGTTCGTTTTGCTTTTGCCGCGGGCGCGTGTTCACCCACACCGTTCAGCTTTGAGACTGCTGCAGCGGGCCACTGACACGATCCGCTGCAGAGATTCTGACTCAGATCCTGTCCCACCTACACCCCGACTCGCACGGCGCCGTGGCGTTGGTCTCCAAGCGCTTCTACGCCCTTGTCACCACCCCCATATGCATGGCGAGCCGCTTTTCCTACGCTACTTTTGCGGGGCAAGACTCCGTGGCCCGGCCACACCAAGGCCGAGCAGCAGGCTAAAGAGCAGGCCGAGTCGTCGGACATCATTCGATCCCGAGGTTCGCCACTTCACAAAGGCTCACCGCCCTGGGCCTCCTGGGCGCAGCGAGTAACCTACTCCGCACGCGCCCTGCTGCCGGAGCGTGGTGCGGCGGCAAGCCCGGCAGACGTTTGGCTCGTCGGCTCGTTCCAGCCCAATCCAGGGAAGAAAGGCCACGGCCGTCCTGACCTACAACTCGAAGCTCCCGTGGATGATCAGCCATGTCCATGCGGACTTCACCGGCGGGAAGAAGGGCCCGAGGGTGATACACGGGACGCGCGATCTTGGTGTAGCCACCGTCAGCGATCCCACCACGGGTAGGATTGAGAAATGGGGTTTGGATGATCCTTTCGCTTTCCAGCAGCTTGACGAGGCCTTTCCAAACCTAGAGTTCTTTGGTATCGGTGAGGGACCGGCAGCTGTGCCCAACGTCATGGACGTGAGCCAGCCCTATGGCTTCGCCGGAGGCGAGGGCTTTCCCGGTGGCCGCGTGTACTACAAAGCGACTGGCCAGTTACGGGGACACTACATTGGCCACGACCACGGCATGACTGAGATGCCGCCCGAGATTCCGAAGATCCCAGCCTTGGTTGATGCGGTTAGCTGCGTCTGGATCGCCAAGTCGTCCAGTGTCACGTCGACAACCCAGTCCATGGTCGGTATCTTGGCCGGATCTACCCTCGGCGTTGTGACAAGTTATGCTCTGGGCCATGAGTCAACAGGCCCTCGATTCGGTGACGGGGATATGACGGCTCGTTGGGTGCTCAGCCCCGGCGTGCCCATCATTGACATTAAGGTTGATGAGCAGTATAGCCTGCGGCGGAAGGCCCTAGGCCGTGTCTGGGCTGTGGCATTGAATGCTCTCGGCGAGGTCTACTACCTCACCGAGCCACCAAGCCCTCCCTTTCTCAAGGGTAAGGCTGAGGGTGCGATCAAGGATGCTTGGCATGCTGGCCGAACCGCGCATTGGGAACTGATTGAGGCGACCCGGCGCACCGCAAAGCCTGATGAGTTCGACAAGAACGCGGTCATGGGCACTTACTCCCCAAGATCCTCTGCTCACGCGATGAACCTAAGCAGAGAACAGGTCGTTGCCGAGGCCAGGGAGATCGAGAAATACTTCAAGCACACTCCCGCTCACTTCAGAAAAGTGTGCCAGGGCTGGGACATGTTGCGTAAGCTTGAGGTCGACTTCGCTGCCGGCGGTGAGAATGGCGGCGGAGAATCCATTTTCGTCGTCACCTGCGGCAATGAAGAGGCCGAGCCCGCTTCTATCCGCAGATTTGTCAAGTGCAACGGCTCAAGGAAGTCCAGCCCGTCGGGGGCCTTGACCCCGGTTGCCCCGCCCTTGGCCCCTCGTCAGTCAATCTTCGGCGGTGAAGCCGTGGTTGAGGTATCCAAACCGACCCTTCAAGTTGACAGCAACACGAGCGGGATATCACCGCCGGCTTCTGGGTCGAGCACGCCTCGGCTTGGATTCATCTCAGGAAAGGTCGAGATTGAAGAATGGCGGACCAATGAGTTCGTGTTCAAGCACAACCATGCCGTAGAGATCACGGCGAGCGCAGTGGACACGTCCACTTTCGCGCTGATGACAGACTTCGAGGATCCTCTGCTGTCGGGGTTGTCGGGGGCGAACACGCCTGGCACTCCCACCTCGAAGCATGCAACTGGCGAGATCCCCGGACGTCGTGCACGCCTATTGGCGGTCGGAACCAACACCGGCTCCGTCGTCGTGTGGAACATGCGTGACACAACCTCACCTGTCGTGAGCCCCGTGAGGGTCATCCACACCGAGTCACCCGAGGTCACCGCCCTCGCAGTCTCCGCTCTGTACATTGTCCATGGGGGTAGTGACAGCCTCGTCCAGGCGTGGGACCCGCTTGCGTCCTCGCTCGAGCCTATCCGCACCCTCAATGCCAAATCATCGGGCCGCATCCCGCGGCACATCCTCCCACGCCAACCCGGCACTACAGCACGCTAACTACTTCGCTGTGCGGGCCATCGCCCTCGACCCGAACGCCACCATCCTCCGCGGCGTCCTCGCCTTCGGCACTTTCGTCCGCTTCTGGACCTACAGCTCCACGGCCCAGGGGTCCGGCCGGAAGCGCCGCCTCCGCCACTCGGACATCCACGGCCGCCTGGCCGGCCGCCGCAACAACGGCACCGTGTCCAGCTACATCGCTGCCGAGGAAGCCGAGCTGCGCCACGAACGCGAGCACCGCTCGCGCGAGGTCGACCGCCTCCGCAAGCGCTTCGGCGTCGGCCTTGCCGAGCTGACCGAGGAGGAGGCCCTGCAGTACGCCACCATGGTCTCGGAAGAGTCTTTCGCCGTCGACGAGATGCGGCGCAATACCAGCGCCAGCGATACCGCGGGCGAGACGGCCAGCTCGGTGGGGAGCAGCGCCGTCGATGGCGCGTTTGTTACGCCCGAACCGAGTGTGAGTAATGGTGGCGTGGGACCCAGCGGCGCTGTGGTCAATCTGCCAGTCCTCAGGGAGGAGGTGGCTGCTACAACGGCGGATGGGGAGAGTGGTGTTGGTGGGGGTGGTGACGACGATGACTATGAGGCGCAGATCCAGCGGGCTATTCGCCTGTCGCTTCTCGAGGGTGTTGGTGACATGCCCCCCTCACAACAGCAATCATCCCCGCCATCGCAATCCCCGTCGCAGTCATGGGGTGGCTCCGACGTCGCTACAACTTGGGGCGGGTATGAGGTCAAAGTCCAGGTGAAGAGTGCCAAGGGCAAAGGCAAGGGCAAGGGCAGGTCAGAGGGGGCGTCGCCTGATGCTGCTACGGGCGTGGGTGAATCTGGTCTGGGCGTGTCGGGGTATGCGGCCGGGGGATCGGAGGTCGCTTCCGCCCCTGACGTTGGTGTTGATGCGGATGATGACCTGGCGCTTGCGCTGCGGTTGAGTCTGGAGGAGGAGGAGGCCAGATTGCGGAGGGTGAAGGAGCAGGAGGAGGCGGGAGTGGTGGATGCGGATGTTGCCTGGGAGGGTGATGAGTACCCGCCGCTGGAGGTGAAAGGGAAGGGGAAGGGGAAGTGGGTTTGAGATTGGTTGGGGCTGAAGTGATGCGGTTGGCCGGAGTGGTCATGTGTGCTGTTGTGTGTTTCTGGAACCTTATTCTTTTCGTGTCCCGTGGATGGCGTGGCTGTCTACTCTGGGCTTGCACTTTGAGTGCTTTGATATTCGATGGTGGTTTGGCTAACTTAGCGAGTCGTTGTCTGTTTCATCGTGAAACTGATATATAACTTGATCCGTTTACCTGGGGATAGCATATCGCCTAGAAGATCCTGCTTTGCTTCCTATGACTCAAGAACGACCCAGTGATTCCTGAAGATATTCTTAGAAAGTATAGCCAACCAACTTGACCCTGTCTGTGCCCATGGTCAACCTGTTTTCCCTAACTTGATATTGGTTACCTACTGTGAGCCATCTCCCGCCAACACCCATCTTTGCGACATGAAACTATGTTTGGCTGAGGTTTGGGCTCTGTACATGCACGCTGGCCTAGGACTACGGTGACTTCCATGGCGCCTTCGCCGAATCTGTCTCGAAGCACCCGGTATACAAGGCCCCTCCGTCGCCCGCTGGCCACGACGGCTCATGTCGCGTTAACAAGGTGGTAAAAGACACACTGCAACACAACGAACCAAGGGGAAAAGGCGACAAAAACAGGTAAATGGCGGGAAAGTATAAATGGCACTCCGAAGACAAGCAGCCACAGATACAGCGTTACTTGACGGATGGTGAATCTGCAATCTCTTACTCGATAATCACCAAACACAATTCAGACCATACGGCCTGCCGCGATGTCGATGTTCCAAAGTCCAGCTTCACCTGAGGATATGCCTGAAGCCAGGTCCGCAAAAGCCTTGTGAGAAGCACAAGCAACGCATCACTATCTTAGAGAGGGGTGAGAGACAACGGCAACGACTGTCTAGCGCTACTAATATACGCACTGGCGATTCTTAATATCTACATTTTCACACTTGAGAGAAACCAGAGTAACTCTGAACAAGCAAACTTCGATTTTCTTCCCTCCTCAGAGGGTATATCTAACCATCTCCCGCGTAACGTTTCGGGTATCGCACACGCAAACCAGACAGTATCAGTGACTGCCTTCAACCTCCAGCCACCAAACAATGACAATTAAAAACGAAACTAGGGCGCTCAATCAAAAATAAAGCCGAACCGAACCGAACCAAACGTGCTTCTTTTGCTCGCTCATACAGACAGTTGGAGAGAGAGGGATACACACCACCAAGGCCAGAAGATACTCCTTTACGCCACCATGCCACGCCACACACAAACAAACTCCGTTGTAACCGAACCAAAAAAGACCGATGAACGGACGGGTGGACGGATGAAAGATGGAGGGATAGATGAATAGATGGATAGACGGGGCGCGATCAAACCAAGACGCCCACACCGAGGGCCACGCCAACACCCCACCCAACACCAAGCATCCACGGCCGCAAAGCCCCCACGCCATCCTCCTCCCCATCCCCACCCCCATCCACCGGACCCGTCGGCGTAGCCTGCGACCCGCCGGGTCCTGCACCAGGCGTGATGACGGTAGTCGGCCCAAACGGAAAGCGCAAGCTCAGCGTGCCGACCTCGACGCCGCTTGGCATGATGGTGACGTTCTCGCCACCGACGGCGGTCGTGGTGGTTCCCGTGCCGGGGCCGACGGTGTACGAGACGCCGTTGATGACCACGACGGAGGCGCCGACCTTGGTGATGGTGGCGCCGCCGACGAGCGCGTACTGCGTGTCCTGCGGCGACGACGCGTGCGCCCCGCCCAGCGTCACCGCCCCGCCCTGCGCCGTGATCCCGCCCCGCCCCAGCGTCAGCACGTCGTCGTCGACCGTGACGGTGGTGGTGGCGTCGGCGCCGTCGGGTCCGTCGGTGAGCGCGTAGGTGAGGGTCGTGCCGTGGATGACGAGCACCGAGCTGCCGATGGCGGTGATCAGGTCGCCGCCGGCGACGACGACTTCGGTGGGGGAGGGGAGCGTGGGCAGCGGGAGGGTTTGCGAGCCGCCGGCGATGGTGCTCGGGCCGACGGTGAAGGTCTTGCCCGAGACGGTGGCGGTGGTGGCGGTGGGGCCGAGGGTGAAGGAGGAGCCGCCGATGATGGCGATCGTGGAGGAGACGATGACGGGGACGTCCTCGATGTTGGTGCTGGTCGGCTCGGGCAGGTAGATGCCGCCCGTCGCCGAGGGGCGGTCGATGGTTGCGCCGCCGCCGACGACGCGGGTTGGGTCGATGGTGAAGGTCTGCCCGGCGATGATCACCACTTGGGTCGGCTGCATTGGGTTGTCGCGGATCGTGTTGCCGTTGATGACTACACCCGTGGGTTGCACGGCGACAGTGATCGGGGTCGGGGTCGGGCGGTGAGCCGAGTCGGAGATGGCTTGGGGATCGCCCGGTGAGTTGTAGCCGGCAGACGAGTTGTCGTCGTTAGGGGCCTGCGTGGGATTAGCGTGATGGTCGCGTGTTTTGGCGTCCTGGCTGACGCCGTAGTCGGGTTTGTCGATGGTCGAGAAGACGACGGCGGGATTCTTGTCCGTGGTGAGGAAGACGACCTGGGGGGTGACGCTGGTCTGCACACCGAACCCGTAGCTCTCTGTCGTCGTCGTTACTTCACACGTCAAGTACTGGGTCCCCACGCCGGTCGACGCGCAGACCGAGATGGTTAGCTTCGGCGGCGATATGGGGACGACGCAGGACGAGGTCGATTGCGGAACGGAGATAGGGGGGTACGGCTGCGAGTAATCTTCTGGGTTGCCGTACCAGGTGATGGTGGATGTGTAAACGACGGACCAGGTCGTTGGGGGACCCGTCATCTCAGAGGGCCGGCAGTAACTGACCGACCCCGAAGGGATGTAAGTGAATGTTTGATTCCCGGGCCGGGCCGAAGTCACAAAGGTTGTGGCGCCGGATGCCTGGGGCCCGTAACCGAGATCTATGGTTTCGGTTGTCCTGTGAGTGATGGTAAACGAGCTTGCTCGGGACGGCGGCTCGCCCGGAGGACCACCGCGCGGCGCTGTTGGCCTCGACTCGGCAGTGTCTACAGCCGGCGCAGCTGTTGTCACCGGGGCATAGTTGTAGTCGGCACTGCTGGTTGACTGCGGCCTCGGACCCCGCGTTGGCGGTAGCTTGGTTAGTGGGGGGCGCGTTTCCTCCGGTGGCGGTCCTCTGTTGGTCTCGGCTCCGGGCTCGATTGAACTCCTCGTCGGTTCCGCGGAGCGGACGGGGGCACGCGTATCTGTCGTCAAGCTGCCGCCCGCACCGATCGCCCCTGGGTCGACGTAATTGCCTCCGGTTGACGTCGCGACGCGCTGGTCTGCTTTAACCGATGCCTCTGCCTTGCCCGAGCTGATGGCCTGCGGCCTCAGCCCTGGCGTAGTTTCCTCCTCTTTCGCGCTGCTCCCGGTCGACCCCTCCGAGCCCGTGCCAACGATGGTTACCGTCGTTGACGGCCATGTCGAGGACTCCACGTCCGTTGGACTCGACGAGCCGGAACCAGGGACGCCAGCGGCGCCCTGGACTGAATCAACGGTCCCATCCCGACGTCGAAATTGACCTGTTATTGGCCGTTAGCTCTTACTTGAGATTCTAGGGGGGTTTGTTTTTCATGTTTTGGTGGATGCTGACCTCCGAGGACGCTGTCGAAACCAAGACCGGAGATCACTGCGATCGAGAGCAGCACTCTTCTGCCCCCGACCATGCTGTGCTGGCTCGGGGGAGGAACCCTTCTTGGTGCTTGCGCTGGGCCGGTGTGGCAGAATGAAGGTCCTGATACGGCCCTTTTCCACCTCGTCCAAGCATTTGATCCGTTCTGAGCCTGGGATTTGATCACCCAAGTTTCCTCACCATCGCGCCCAATGGTGGCATCATGGGACTTCGCTGTGGAATGCAGGAAAAACGCAGGAAGAAATGCTGGTTGTCGGCAGGGCGACCTGAGCAAGGGTGTCGGGAATTGGACGGGGGATCCCGTCGAAGATCTTGTCCAAGATCCGAGACAACAAGACAGGCAGCGGGCTGCTTGTCACCGCACATCAGAATAACTAATTAGTGCGCAAATCCCCTCGCAAACACCCCGTACGCGAGAATGGGGAACCTTTACAGGGCAATTTGCGCGAGGTGTTGAGCCTAATAGCGTGCTGTGGGACACTTTCATTTACCGTGTACCACAGTTACGTATTTGTACAGATTACAGATTACAGATTTCAGATTATGTTAGTTATGTGGGATGCCGGCCACGAGGTCAGCGGCGCCTGGGCGCCTGGGAGAGAGGGAGGGTGGCACGGTGGCTCTCGGAGGGAGAGAGAGATCCGGGGATGAAGGAATCGCGTTCGTTGCCAAGGGACAAGGGCCGATGAATGAACAAGGGGTCTGGATGAGGATCTCTCATGCGCAGGGATATCCCTGCCAAGAAGCAGTCTCTCCAAGGGGACGGGACTTGCGAGAATCCTCGATTTGCCCGCGACTGGGCCGGCATGACACGCCAGCTGCCGGCTGGTTGGCAAGGGGGTGGAGGGGCCAGAAAGCGGAGACTGTGAACAGGCCTCGGACCGTGGCCCGCGCCAGAATGGGTGGGTGAGCGTGGGTGGTCTCGGGGTGGCCTCTCTTTGCTTGAACGCGACTTGCCAGTTGGTGCCAACTATCCAGCTCTCACTCGGTCTCGAAAGCTTCTCGAAGAGGGTACACAGTAACTCCAAGAGCGCCGAGAACAAACGGGAACTTTTGGGGCTGGCGGCGTGGTTCGTATGCGAGTACCGTAAGCGGATGCGTGTCCAGGTCGCCGACTCGTTTATCAAGAGTCCAGCCTCCGGTTCGGTGTAACGGAAGGGTTGATAGAAGACTGCCGAGAACCACTGATGGAAAGGAGTCAAGTCTTCCGTTGTCTCCCGTTGTCTCCCGTTGAGTGGTTGTGGCTTGGCGGTCCTCGTGCGATTGTATCCTGTTCAGCCGTTGCCGTCGAAGGCATAGATAGTTAGGGCGATTCGAAGCCCCCCCATCCCCTTTCGCTCGTGTTTGTATCAAGTCAATTAACGATGGCCGCGTCTGACAGTTCGCTTGATTTTCGACATGCCCTCCATGCTTACTGTGGGTGCCAGCCCACAGGCACCAAACACACCCTCCTTCAAGCCTGTTCTCCGCAGCGTGCCAATCGCTTCTGCATGTGCCACAACTGATCGCCGCGAAGGCGCTCGCCTGGGCAACTTGTGGGGAGCTAGCGGGGCGCCATGGGCCCCTTCGGCAATTGGCGACCTGGCGGAAGGGGAGCTGGAGCTGCCGGCCAGTGGACAGGTGCAAATCGAAGTCGCATCCCGATCTGCCCATCTTGCCATCGTAAGGTGTGGGTTGGAATTGGTGGTCTTGGTGGCGTCAGCCTGCCAGGCCTGCTTTGTCGAGCTTGTTTCGAACTGACTGTTATGAACCGGGGTCCAGAAAGCAATGAGCGATACGGAAATCTCAACGGCTCACCCAGAATCCAGAGAAACATTCCTTAACTCAGACAGTCCGAGTGCCTGAAATGCTTGTTCACCAGTTGTTCACTGACACTTCTGGGATCCACTGCGCAGGGGATAGTCAATACCCCCAGGGCACTGTTCCTTGACCGAGCACTTTTCCAGTAGGCTAACTAGTCTCCCAACCAGCCGGCCAGCCAGCAGAGCAGTCATTGCTGGCATCGTGTTTGGTAAGCGTGGTAAGACAGCTGGGAACAACAGGGACAGTGCAAAGTGAGTTTTCGGCTGTCCAACACCGCTCCCGGACCAATGGTGGGACAGAAGAAGCGAGCAAGGGCAGCAGTCGCCTGCTTGCTTGGGTGCTTGGCACCCCATGGGCACAAGGTGTTACTTTTTTGCCTTACGTGACTTTTTTTTTTTATTTGATTTATTTTGCTCGGTTTTCTTTATGTTCTTTTCTTTTCTTGGTTTCTTTTAACGTTACTTTTGTCTCTTTTCTTGGGTCTTGTTACACTTTCGAGTTCGGCCTTTTTTTTTTTTTTTTCTTTATTTGGTTGCTAGAGCGAGCTTGGCTCTTGGGTCTGTCAACAACGGCCGATTAGGTACACGAGGAATTGAATGCGTCACTAGTGTACTTGTTTGAAACAAGAAGATAGACGTCTGACGCCAATGCTCGCCACCCCGAAGATCTTTCGCAAAGCGTTTCCTGCTTGTTATCAAGTCCCAAGGCATGTGCATGCTTCCAGAGCAAGCACGCAGGCTCGAGACAGGCCTTCCCGGATCGGGCAATGCGGTGTCTCGGTGACAGAAACAAGGGCATCTCAAAGGCGAGACAGACACCCTTGACACCCCGGCGGTTCTCTGTGAAAAACAAGTTGCCAGTTCAAAGTAATTAGGATGACAGAGGTTGTTGAAACAAACTGGTCAGCGCGAGCCGTGAACCAGTCGTAACATACAGGCTTGTCTGTATTCGTATATACCCGCCTGTCAACGCCAGCCCACCGTTTCCCAGTCGTCGACGGCTGCAACCAGATGCTGGGCCAGGAAAGTAGCAAACTCCCAGAGGTGTGGTGACGGGTTGGTCTGCGTGAACGGAACGGGAGAGCTCAACACGGCGAATGCTTGATTGGGTGTGTCGGCAAAATGGTTTGGCGCTGAATTTAGCCAGAGTGCCCTCACACTCTCAGTGGTGAAATATATTACCCTGCCGTGTCCGATGCATCCTTCATGCCTGTTCAGGACATTCCTCTTCTGATTCTCGCCGCCCGGATTGCCGCCCCCTTGGGACGAAGGATGGCTTCACCGCGGCCGATATTTGATCAATATATCTGCACCGCCCGTCGTCGATAGTGACCCGACGGCCATCAGAGTGCACTGGAGAAATTCCTCGACATCCCGCCATTGGTGCGGTAGCAACGAGGCGAAATGTTCTCGCCAGCTTCCTAGTCAGTCTTTGAACTTCGAACGAAGCTCGCAAGTGGTGCCGACAAAACAAGTCTTGGTGGCCCAGGACGGTAATGACCGATCGTCATAAGGCGGCGAAAAGCGCAACCAGAATGCTCAGATCCCGTTTTTTTTATGGCCAGTGGTCAGTGGCCAAGAACTTCCCCTCCCAGTTTCACCATCACCGAGAGCATTTCCCCGGCATTTGCGGTACCAAGCGGACGGCATGCCACTTCCAAGCGAGGTTCCCCGCAATATCGCTTTCCTGTGGGACTTCGGTCAGTGATGCCAACCAAGGCCAGAGCCCATTGATGCGGAATGCACAAGCAGTGGCCGGCCACGACATGATGAGCCATCAGCAGGACCCTGAGTTGTTGGTGACGCTGTCTGTTATTTCCAACGCCTGCGGGTCTTTGGTTGCGTTGCTTGTTGGTGGGAGAATCCACTGTGGCCTACCTGATCATGATGTTTTGAAACCACCCGACGGGAACACTCTGCTGCTCTCTCCGGGTATCGCTCGGGGCCGGTGGGCGGGTTCGCCGATGGTGGGCTGGCTCCTCGGCTGGGATTCCCTCGCAGCAAGGCGGAGGCACGGACTGGATGAGAGGATTTGCGCGTCATCAGACGAACCCTGGGCGTCCTGGTCGCAACGCCTCAACTCTAATCGGACATTTCGTCTGGTTTTTCAGCCAGTCTCAATCGGCGGAAAGCCAGCGCCGCAAGCCTAGTGTCGGGAATCTATCAGCCACCGGAGCTAGCCGCATCGATACGCCACGTGCGGGAGACGGCCGTCGATGTGGTGTTCGTGTGTCCCGAGCAAGATCCAGACTGGTCCACAGATGGTATTGGGGAGTGCATTGTGCGAAGGTCCTGTGTAGCGCTGAGATGCAGACTGTCCTGCGTCCGGGCTGCTGTGCTTTAGATGGCGTCGCGTTCACGCTTCCAGGTTTAGCTTCATTTGCCTAGCAATCTACAGACGGCTTCCCCAGGGCAAAGTGCCGAGAAGGGGCGGGACTTCGGACGGCGCGCCTCCAGGATGCTACCTCACGGTTTACTGCGGGGAGGAGAGTGTCAGGTTTCCTGAACTGTTTTGTGTTTGTGGCGGACGGAGAGACGGGCAATCTTGCTGATGGCTGAGAGAAAGAGCGGGAGAGAGAGGGGAGGCCCATCCATGCCAGCCGACCCAAGCATTTCAGTGGCTTTCCGCTTCTCTGGGCAACTGTTTAGCCAGCAACGCCAGCCCCTGTCATTGCCGATGGTGGCTCGCCCTCCCTCCCTGGCTCTCCCTGCTCTGCCTGGCTTCCCTGGTTCTCCCTTGCTTCTTCTTCCAGGTTGTTTGGGGGGGGGAAACTGGAAGGTGGTGGGGGGGTTTTGATGGATGGACAGCATGGCGCCTGTCCTCACTGCCCGCTTTCCAGGGGTTTTCGGTCTTGGGCAGTGGGGACAGTGCCCAGTGCTTATCGAAAAAGGGAAGCTCGACCAAGTCGAAACTTGCAGGCTCCGTGCTCCCCTGGCTTGAGGTGGCTCCTGCCGCCAAACGGTTTGCTGGCCTCGTGCCTTGTGCCTCGATCCCGCCCGACCCCCCGGGGCCTGGTCTGACAAAATTTCCAAAGTCACCGTTAGCGGCAAGTTCCTGAATTGAATCTCGACACATTGGGGGAATGGGGTCGGGGTGACTTTGTACACTAATTGAGCCTACCGGTACTCAATCAACCTTTTCGACGCCTGGCCCCCTTCGATCCCGTAGCCTGGTCCAGTCCACGGGTCCTCTACTGCTGCTCACGCCGATCTTTCCTGCTTGAGCGGCAACCCCCAGAATTCTCTGGGAAGGCGAGACATCTCATCCAATCTCATCCCAATCCATCCCAAAGGGTTCCGTTTTGATTTCCCGACTGGTATTTTCCGCCGTTGCATTCTTCGTCCCACGAGACGCTGCACCCGCATGCCCGGTCCCTCTCTCGCACCCATCCATCCCTTCCCATCCATCCTTTCCAGTCCTACCTCTCGTGTGCTGGAAGAAAGAAAGGACATTGTCGTTCTGATCGGTTCTAGTCGATCTCTGGCTCCCAATTACACACTACTACTACTACCTGGTACATACTCCTGCGAGGCGGCATGGAGTGAGAGAGCTGTGCTCGATCCGCGCAGTCCGACCTCCCATCTTTATTCACCGACCGCATCAACCAAGCTCCCCGTGACTTTCGGCGTGTCGGCTGCTAGTTTCCACCACCGTACGCTCTGCAGCCCATGGCACACCGACGCGGCCTCGCAAGCGTCCTAGGACCCCTCCTCTGGTGACAGAACGCCGTTGACTGCGCACAGTCCGGGCCCGGGTGCTGCAACCATGCGGTTACCCTACCTCGGGGCCGCTGTCGTTCGTGACGTTCTGCTGCTGCTGGTGCTCGCTGTGTCGCAATTCGGGGCTGCCGTCGTCGCCGCCTCGCCCGATCCACCAACTCCGAGTCCCCTCTGGATCCAACCATCCGGCGAGTGGTGCGTCATCCTGCTCCTTGTGTGCCCCAGCTTATGTTACGCCGCGCACATTCGCTGACTAGCCCGGCAGGTATGGAATCGACGGGACCTGGTCTAACTTTGCTTTCTACATCGGCTCCCCCGCCCAGGTCGTGTATCTCAGTGTCGCTACCGCGCTGTCAGAGATATGGGTGGTCTCCACCGGTGGCTGCGTTCCAGGTGAGTGCCATGTTCCCGGAGACGACTAGCGGCTGTGTTGACCAAAGGCAAAAGTTCAACTATGCATCGATGCTCGTGGTGGCGTCTTCGACATCTCGCAATCCGACACATGGCGTTCGTTGGGGGGTTGGCAGTTGGGCATGAACTATACGGGCATGGGAGGCAACGGGGACTACGGCCTGGAGACGCTCGCTTTCGTCAACAGAGTGACGCGCTTCACGAGTGCCATTGACGGCGCGCTGGTGGCGGCCATCAACGACACCGACTACTACCAGGGATACGTCGGCGTCGGCGTGACCCAGGGCAGGTTTGGGGCCAACCTCACCAATCCTTTCATTTCGCAATTAGCGCAAACCTACGGGACTATTCCGAGCCATGGCTACGGGTACACGGCGGGCGCCTACTACCGTAATGGTAAGTCACCCATTCATCACCCGCTGTGCGGATCGGATACGCTGACGATGATCCAGATGAGCCAAACGGTGGAACAGTGGCGTCCCTCACACTTGGGGGCTATGATACCCTAAGGTTTGAACCGCACAATACCAAATTCACCCTTGACCCAGTATCGCGGTTGCCCGTAGTGCGGCTCCGCGGGATAACAGCCGCGGTCCCCACGCTTGATGAAGCCCCAACCAAGAATTGGACATCGACGGCACGGCCGCTCGTCAAGATGGACGATTCCATCATCGCCACCATTGACTCGTCAACGCCATACCTGTGGCTCCCCACCGAGGTATGCGAGCGCTTTGCCGCGGCTTTGAACCTCAAGTGGAGGGAGGATTTGGGGGTCTATGTCTTCTCCGACGGCGCCCAGTACACGAATTATCAGTCCAGCACGTCGCTATCCTTCACCTTCTCCCTTTCCAGCTACCAGAATGCCGACAACTTTGGACAGCCTCTCAACACGCCAGGCGTTGTCAATATCACACTCCCGTCCGCCGCCTTTGCCCAGCTTCTACGGTATCCTTTCAAAAACATCATTCAGTGGGGTGATTCGAGCGTTCCATATTTCCCTCTCAAGAGGTCGACCAAGGAAGTGAACGACAACCGGTACATCATCGGACGCGCATTTCTGCAGGAGGCGTACATCATCACCTCTTACGACCGAGGGACTTACTCACTTCACCAGGCTCGATTTCCCAAGAACGCGACGAAGAACTACTTGCTCGAGGAGATCACTAGACCGGCAGATAGCGCCTATCCCAAGTACGAGAGCGAGCCTGAGCCCAGCCACGGATTGTCGACTGGCCAGATGGTCGGGATTGTGTTGGGTGCGTTCGTCGTTGGCAGCATTGCGGCGTTGCTGCTATGGTTCTGCCTAGTACGCAAACGGAAGGACAAGCAGAAGGAGGTGCCGGGACAAGAAGACGAACACAAGGATGGCCCCCAGATTATCGAGGAGGATGAAGAGGAGGAACCTGCGAGTCCGGTCAAGAGGATGTTTACAAAGATCATACGGAAGAAGCGATCAAGGAAGCCGGCAGTCCACGAAACGGATGGCCAGAGCATGCAACCAGTTGAGGTTGGCGCCGACGAGCAGCATCAGGTGTTCGAGATGCCGGTGCCGCCCGAGCCCGTCGAGCTGGATAGTCACGATGTCGGAGACGACGACACCGAGTTTGGCGCCGACAGCAGCCGAGCATTGAGCCAATATGAGATCACAAGGCGAAAACTCGACCGCCAGCTACAGGGGCCAGTGCCGACCTATACGCCGAATGCCACCTTTCCGACCGGACTCGGGCCCGAAAAATCAATGCAAGATACAAGTCCCGTCGCCCATTACAGACCGGTTGAGGAGCCCTCGCCAGCATCATCACCAACTTACGCCAACAGTAATTCGCTCCCTGGCACTCTTCCTTCCCCGATGACCCCACACGGCGACTGGACGAACCGCGGTTTCGATCTCCCATCGCCAATGACGGTCGCACCCCCAACGCACCTCCTCCTCCACACGCCTTTCACAGGGTCAGATCCTACCTACTCGCCCGTCTCCCCTCACTCTCCTCATTCACCACATTCGCCACATTCACCACACACATACGCTCCGTCATCCATTACCCGTGCTGGGTCCAGTGATTCCCCCACCTCCCCGACCGGATCCATGCAACTACCATCCCCAACATTTCAACGAACTCCCATCGACCCATCACGAGTGGTGTGCCTAGGTCCCTTGCCAGAAAACGTCCAGCTCCCGCGTCCTCAACAATCAATACCGCGAATAGTGACCCCGGCCCATCCCCCACAAGAGGCAGACGCCCAAGCTGGACCAGCTTATTCAGGCTCGCAGGATTTACCACTCCCGCAACCACTCGGGCACCACCGCTCTCACACACAAGGCTCGACTGACACTCTCGGGAGTAACTTTACCGTCGAGGAAGAGACCCGCTTCCGGACAGACGAACCCGCATTACCGAGACAGCCGAGTATGGTGCAGGACGAGCAACAGGGCCACCACCACGGCCACGAACGCGACCGCGACCAGGACCAGGACGTTCCTCGCACCCCGTGCAGCATGGAGCGCATTGACGGCGGCTCGGAGCTCATCCATGTGCCTCAAGTTGCCGATAAGCGGTATAGTTGGGAGGAGGACCGGGGCGGCAGTCTCAACTGAGCAGGCTCCTGGGTCGCCGCCCAATACTGCTCCTGCTCAGTATCCTCATTCCCTATGTTTGGTGGCATCCCGCATCGTATATATGCTTTGCAACCTTTGTTTTGGTTTTACCTGATTTTGGGATATCGTGCTATATACCACGACCACGGCCGGCGGCTTTCCTTTCTAGTTTTTGGATACAATGGGAGCGAGGCGTTCTGGGGTCTTTTTATTTTATTTTTACTTGGCCAGTTCAAAATGGAAAGGCCGGTTTGGAAGGGGATGTAAGCGGTCGTGTCTTTCTGGGGGCTGTTTTTGGTTGGCGGCGTTGGATCTTCCGACATAATCTTTCGGGGACGGCGTAAGAGATGAGCGGGGGGCATCCTGGTGGTCAGAGGTTGCGGCTCTATCTTGGACGGGGAAGGTATTGGGAGTTTCAAGGGATACTGGGATGGTATCAGTGCAGTCCGCTTGCTCTGACTCGGAGCTTGTCTAGAACAGAGATAGCAGCGGTAGAACAACAGACACAGTTGACTATACGCCCACTCACCTACCTCATGCCTTGACTTTTTCAGATCTCTACCCGGACGCCAACCCCCATCAATCCAAGTATGTTCCACCCCAACCCGGCCCTTTGTCGTTAGCTTAGTCCCGTAAACCTTCACGTATGGGAACTGATGATGACACAGGGCTGTTGTAGACATGCAATGCATGACATGCTATCTGCTACCTGCTACCTGTTAGCAGAGACAAGAGACGTGCACGTTGCTGCATGCACCTCAACTCCCACCTCGCAGGATCCAATGTGCAACATTAAACAAAGTAAAGCATAGAAGATCCATAGCCTCAATCTGCCTGACTATTTCCACCACCCTCTGTAACCCATATCTGACCATGCATCTCATCATCCGTGCCTTGCATGCAAAACATAACACCAAACTCCGTTCCCATGAGTGTAGCCGAAGAAAGAAAAGCATGGCAAGTCACGCCCACCACCCCCAGCCTCCTTCACCACGTTTCCTGCCACATGGTGACATTCCTTGGGTTGGAAAGCCACTTTTCGGCCGCCTCCTTGGTTTCGCACACCTTATCAATGACCAGCGCATCCAGCAAGGCGTTCCGCACCGAGACGGGCATGCGTCCATTGCTACCGCAAATCAGCACATACGGCCGCCTCCGCATCAGAGCGCCGACTTCGGCGGCGCGTGCCCGGATCAAATGCTGCACGTAGTTTTTGTGCGCATCGTACTGGTTAGGGTAGACGGTTTCCAGGGCAGCGGCGAGAGGGTAGGCGGGAGGCGGAATGACTGTGGTGACAGTGGCCTGGGGGTCGGGCTCGATGCCATCACGCGAGAAGGCCGGAAAGACCCTGAGGTTGGTATACAGTTTCCACTCGTCCGCAAAGTGGAAGTCGGCTGAACGGTTGCGAGAACCGAAGAAGAGAATGGTATCACCGACGTCAGCATAGTAGTCGCGCTCCTGGATGACAGCACGGATCGGGGCGACGCCGGTGCCGGTGGCGATTGCGATCAGAGGCCGTCTCGCTTCCACATCGCCCCGTACGAGGTGGGAGCTCGACGGCGCTAGGCGGACGGCCAACCGGGTGCCGACGGGGAGGTGTTTAAAGTAGCGAGAGCAAAGGCCCTGACGAGGCTTGCGGATGATGGTCTTGTACTCGACCAGGGCGACTAGAATTTCGATTTTAACGTGCCATCGCTCGTCGACCGCAGTAATGCTATCGCCTCCGTTGCAGACGCTGAACTCACGGCCACGGATAACTGGAAACATATCGAGGACCCTGTTGTATGGGATCTTGACGCCCGTGAAGTCCCGCAGCAGTTCGAGAATGGTCCGACGAGGGCGACACGTGTAGTCGTAGAATTCCTGTTCATTACCGGGCTCGACGAGCTCCAGGAGCCGTTCTCGCTCCCTTTCGTCATTGGTGAAATGGAGCAATCCTCTAATGAAGCTTCGCTTGGGAACCGCGGTAATGTCTAAGTTATGGGTCAAAAGGTGCCGCAGGGTAGTGACACGATCCTGTGAATACAGTCCGGAAGGAACGCCGTTGAGCTGGAGGGGAGCGTCTACCTCTGCTCCCCATCCCATTGGGAGGATTAACTCATCGACATTGTCCGGGTAATTCTTCGGCCAGACGGTAAGAGTGAGACTACCACTATAGTGGAGGATATCGGGGAACGCCCTCTCCCCTACGTCGATGTCGAAAGCAAGATGACGCACATCTTGCCAGTGATTGGACGGCGTGACTCGATTGTGGGACAACAACGTGCCCACGTACGTATCTGGGATGGGGAGCAAGTATTCCGGCGGGGAGGCAGGCAGATTGGCGGGCTGTCGCTCGAGAAGATATTTCTCCGGGTGGTCTTTGAGTCGATTGCTCTTGTCTATCGCATCGAACGCTCGTGGATCATTCCGCTCAAAGGCCCCGTCTCGGCGGATCGAGTCGGCCGGGAAGGCGAGATGCCGCCGTAACCAGTCTTCCCGTGCCTTTTCTGCCGTGGTCTGAGGGTTGTCGACGTGAGAGCGGTCCGCACTTTTGGTCTTCGAAGCGAGAAACAGAAGCTCATCTTTGGTCAACGATGGACCATCCACGCTGCCATGATGATCCGTGTCGCCCATAATGGAGACCAGCTCTACGGGGTATTTAGGCGGGAGCTGGACGTCGTCTGGGATGGGCTTGAGGGATTCTGGGAGGGGATAGTCGGCGAGCAGCGTCTTTTTTAACTCCTCGTACCACGGGAGATAGATGCTGTCAATGCTGACGGGAGGGAAACTCGTTAATATTTCGTGTACGCCAGTTCAAAGAACCGAAAGAATAATGGTCTTTTGAAGCTCCACCGGAGGCAAGTGGAAATAGCAAAGAAGGAAGGGGACCTATCGGGGAACGGTCTGGAGAGATGCTTACCCGTTATCGTGCCGCTCGTCTCCTTCCCCGGGCCTGAAGAATTCTGTTGCGCCCAGTTGCAGGAGCCTCGCTCGCAGCTTCCTTGCCGCCCAGTTGAATCTGTATTAGAGAATCCGTCAGTAACAGTATCAAAAAAAAAAAAAAAAGCCGTGTCCTAGAACAACCGCATCACTACCACGTAGCGTATCAATTCGCCACGCAGCAGTAAGGGGTGCGTACTTAGGATATGAACTATCCCCGAGCCCGAATATGGCAAACCGCAACGATCGGAGGCAGTTGGTATTGTTGAGTTTCTCTCGCCTGAGGTTTTTCCAGAACTTGAGTGTGTTCTTTGGCATGTCACCTTGCCCGGTAGTTGACGTGACAAACACGACCAGCGAAGAGCGAAGGAGATCTGCCTGTTTGTGGCGTGTTTTCTTTTGTTAGACCGATGTTTGTGGAGAAGAGATTGCATGGTTTTGGAGAGGTGACGCACCAACTTGAAGTTATCCATCTCGTCTACCGTCGTCTGAAAATGTAGCCGTTGGGCTGTCTTGCCCAGCTCGCCTGCAATGTCCTCGGAGGCTCCAGTTTCGCTCCCATACAGCACGGCCATGCTCCTGCCCTCAACTACGGCGGGTTGCACCACCCGACCGGATCCGCCAATATCGCCCATGTTTGTTTCTTTGTTTACACCACGAAGTCCGCGGGCGAAGAACTCTCCCGTTGATCTCCCCCAGCCTCCTCGGTCACCCAAACACACCTCTTCGTTGCGGACTAGAAATACCTAGGTATGGGGGCCCACGATGTCTCCACCGCATGAAACTGGGGGTGGTAAAAAGTTGAGAATCACGCAATGATTGATCTCTTAGAAGGCCCCAGTCAGTCCGTGGTGGTGTAGCGAGAATGGGTATGCATGAGCGGTTGATTCTAATAGAGGCCTCAGGCAGAGTCGTCATCAGATCCAAGTGGCAACAACGTTGGAAATAGACCTTGCTAGATATGTTTATGGACGACTGAAATTTACGTCGAATCGCCGGTGTATCTCCGCCAGTTTTTCGATAGCCGAGCCCGATCATCAACTGGTAGGCTAGAATCTTGCGAGCACGAGAGCTGGGTGGGTTTTGGTCGTTATCAGATCGACTGTGGGGCATCAAACCGAGATCGGCTGCCAGCGTCTGCCGTGTTAGTCACCGCCACCAGAGGCCCAACAATGATCCACACAGGCATCTCGCTCGTCATCAACCGGAAGAGTGGTGATTCGGTGCCTCTAGGCACCTTTCCAACTGACACAATAAAATATGAAAATTACAGGTGGCCACCGATTATGATGGTCTCGTTTTGCAAGTCGATCCCATGCGTTGTCCCCGATGGCTAAGAATGAATTTGAGTACACATCTTCTGAGCAAAAAAAGCCGAGCTCGAAAGAGGAGCAAGATGGAAATCAAAAGACAAAAAAAAACCCCGAATAAAAGAAACGGAGTCAAAAACAGTACCTATAGACTTTAGGCTTCCGGATTGCTTTCTTTTCGTTGCTCCAGTGACTGACGCTTGGAGTTTGGTTTTTTTGGCCGGAGAGTGGTATGTACACCCGTGGTAGATGCCACGCCAACCTGCCCATCACATGCTCCACAAGCGATGCGGGTTTCATTCTGGGCCTGCATGGCAATTGTGGCGACTCACGCGGAGGGGGCATCCGGGTCCATTCATCGACAATAATCGATAAGGTTGGAGGGCAGATCTCATATTCCGTGCCCTGACATCGGTGCTTTGCGACGGTTTTATCTGCATGTGATGTTGAAGAGCCAAAGTTGTCACCTCAATCTCTAAAATTGCATCTGCACAGCAACTATGTATATACATGCCGTCAAGAATTTATCGAGTGTTCGGCAGCCATGGAAGCCTGGCTTGCCTGGGTACCTAGGTAACAGAAGAGCTTCTCTCGTCTGGAAATAGTCTGGAAAGATGCCGGTTCCCCCACCGCCCATGAGTGTCGTGGAGGTATGTATATGATCAACGGACTCGGGACGAAAAGGTCAATGCTTAATGATGGTGACGTATAACTGCCTTGCTCATTTACGTAGCTATGATGTTGTTCGTTCTTCATTCAATCTGTGTGGCCATATTATGATCTCGTTGATGTTGCCTCCGGTCTGAACTGTCAAGAGCCACCTGGGGCTGCCAAGTTTGGTTTGTTGTCGAGGCTTGAGCTCCGGACCCATTGAACAGGGATTTGACCCCGAATATGCCACTACACCTCCACCGGGGTCACAAACCAAACAGACAGGGGGTTTTGGCAAGGGGACGAGCAGGCCAAGTTAACTGTTCTTCTAGGATTTTCTATTGGATGACGACACCTGACGAGCGTCGCTGGGTTCGGTGGGTGCACCCATATGGTCGCTCTTCTAGCATTTTCTATGGGATGTGACATGTCTAGGGCGCACCTGAAAGCCCTTGTCCGCTCCCCCGGTCTGTTTGGTTTGTAACCCCGGTGGAGGTGTAGCCCCAGATCCAGACCTGGGCTGTGATGTCGTGGCTGTCTCAGAGCTCTGTACCTCCACTCCCCCGGACCTCAGGTTCTTGTGTGCATGCAAGAATATTGAACAAAAATGTTGAAGATCGTACGATCGCTTCGCAGCCTGACCGGGTGTCGATGTTTTCCGCTGCTCCTCCCCGAGTCACCGAGCGTCTAGGTACCTTAGGTATTTGATCTGTCGGCTTGTTCGCCATATGAATCATGTTCTGCAGTGACTGCCCGCCTACCTGGCTGGTTTCCGAGCACGTGCAATAGAACCTAAATAAAGTACGAATCACAAGAAGATGCTTGCCTATTTCGGCAATCGAGAAATTGTCCTCACCGTTCAGTAGCCCTGGGCCACACCAAGAGCGCAAATTGAGAAATCTCGATTCAAGAGCATAAGCTTTTCCTCTTTCCTCAAACATACCAATTCTACAAACCATCCACCTCCGGCATTCTGCACGAGGCAAGCCCGACTTTACGCAAACCTTAAAACCCTCCACACATCGACCAACCACCCACCTCAACCACCCGAGCCCGGAGCCACCTCAGAATCGCTCAGCATCTCGGAGTTGACTCATATTCCTCAAGGTAAGTGCTGGGAACCCTCTGCACAGGAAGCGCCACATTGAAACTCTGGAATTCTCCGAAGTCTGTGGAGTTGCAGAAGCGCAGACTGACTTGCCTTGCTCAATGAACAGCGAAAGCCTGCACTGCCCCTACCCCACCTGACCCGGCACCTTACCAGGCCAAGCAAGGTAGGTACGTACCCTGGCCTGCCGCCTTCCCTCTCGCTTAATTCCCCGAACGCCTGGCAAAAATATTTGTTTCTGGCTGTGCCGCTCTCACATCTTTTCCCTTTCTCTCTTCACGTTAAATCACTAAGGATCGATCAAAAGTTTCCCAACCCTTCGACCATTCCCCGTCAACCTTTCTAGGGCACGTAGCTACCCTTCAAGACTCCCCCCACACCCAGAGTCCAGTCACTCTCGTCAGTTCATTTCGGCCCCTCGTTTTTACTAGGCGCCGCCACCCACACACGACGAGCCAATACACCCGTCATTCGACACACAACTTGTGGTCCGACCCCATCGACAAGCTTATCAAACTCGATATCGCTATCAACGACCATGTCTACCGTCGTGGAGAAAGTTTCTGACGCAGCCTCTGCTGCCGTCAATGAAGTTACGAACACTCTGGCCAATACCTCTATCGCTGGCAAGACCGCCGAGGACAACTCGGCCAACAACGATGCTGTCCTTGCCAGCGCTGCCGAAGGTGCGCCGCTTGTACATCGGAAACCTGGCTTATGCGACAACGGAGGGGGAGTTGAAAGACTTCTTCAAGGGTTACCTTGTGTAAGTTACCATCTTCTCGCATTTTCTCATCGGCCACGCGTCGACACCTTCACCGCTGGTTGCCTCGAGTGCCCGCCATACCGCCTTTCACCTCCACGCCTGCACTTGCCGGACCTGAGATGGCCGATGACCGATGGCCGATGGCTGCTTGTGGCGTCGCGTCTCCCTCCTCATCTACATGGATGTGACTTCCTTGGAACAACCACTGTCTTGGTTGATACCTCGACATTATCAGCACTGCTTTATGACTCATTGCCCCCCTCCCTTGTACTCCTGCTAACCATGCGTCGGTTCTTGTCGCAGTGAGTCTGTTTCTATCCCGAAGAACCCTCGGACCGACCGCCCTGTCGGTTACGCCTTCGTTGATCTGTCGACCTCCAGCGAGGCCGAGCGCGC